GGTGTGTAGTGAACGGCCTGTGGAGACGGAATATATATATAGGTACTAGCTGTAAACATTGTATGTCTGCGAGTGCAGATGTGAGGGTGGAGAGAGGATGATCTATGTGTGGTAGTGTCTATCTATCTCCACTATATACCTTGTCTTCTATCTGTTGCACTAATTTACAGACAGATAAATGAAAGGAGACATTGTCTCCTGTTCTTGAGAGTTATACTCTGAGGAATGGAGAAGGATAGCAGAGGTGGGGTGAGCTGTTGTGTGATTAAGGTTGATTCCTAATTCTGAGTTCTTTCCTGACAGGATGATACCTCCTTAGAGATCAGGCAGACGAATCACAGTCCAGCCAACAACCACCAACCCATACCATTCTGGGCACCAAGCATACCTAAAAGTCCTGCCCATTGTGCCACTACCTCAACATGGCAAGAGCTTGTTTGTGAGTTCCAGGACGAAGAGTTAATCCAGCAGATATGTGACCTAACGAGGTCAGAAGAATGGACACATTCCTCAGTAAACATGCGCGGCATCTCTAAGGTTGTCATCACACTTGGAAGATACTGACGGGATCAGATCCATGCGGCTGTAGACACAGAGATAAAGGCACTGTTAGATCAGCATTCAAACACAGAAGATATCATCATCTACACAGATGGATCCGTAAAGCTCGGATCAAGGTCAAAATGGGCTTACACAGTACAAAGAAAGGGGATAACAATACAAGAGGACAGCGGGGCATACCAGACAACCACGTCAAGCATGACCATTAGGCCGCTGCTTCTAGAGCACTAGCATGGGTATCTGAGCAAATCGCCACACAAGCAGTAATTGTATCAGACTCCAAGAACATGCTTCAGAAGATAGCAACAGGTGGCATGAGCTCTTAATAGGTAGAAAGTATTCGAAAAAGTGCACTTAACCTACTAACCTGGTTCTACACACCTGGTAATGAACGAGCGGACCAACCGGCAGGAAATGCACCAAAGCATTTGAAAAGAAGTATTGACAGAGCAGATATGGTCCACTGTAGGGGCTGGGCTAGTGGATAATGAGGAATCTATGACACTATCACGATTGCGTGACATGGGAGTAAAGCATGGTGCTGCATGTCTCGAAGAAGTCATAGTATACATTATAACCGACTTCTCAAAGAAACAATTAGTATAAGTACATTGCAGTGGCTACTGCATAGGAGGACTGAGCGTGCATGGGAATGCCCAATGTGCAGTGGCGTAGATTGTGATGAAATAACTAACCATACATTTCAATTGCTCAGTTTGTAACTAAACTACGGGAGACAGAGCCGCCATGCTGGCCTGCCCCTGTCGATGACGTCGTCGTCTGCTCCACGTCTGACTGCAGGGCTGCCGAAGTTGGTACTTTTGTATACATTTGGTACTGTTTGAACATTGACAAAAACGTTGTTTTTGATACCACACTCAACTCTGTGAAACGTTTTAGAAGTTTTCCATCAATATTTTACATTCTGGCATTGTGTTGAACTTTTTTTTTTTTAAATGGCGATTCGGTTTACACCGAATCTAACCTTTAGGTAAAACTTCAGGTGAAACAAAGTGTCGCCAGACAAAAACGCTAAATAGGTAGCTAAACAAGATTGTGCTTTTTTGGGGGTGTAAAAATCAAGAAACCATGAGTTGTAAACCCTTTGCCTCGGTACTATGGATATCACAACCATTCGGCCTTGATTTCATGACAGATACCGAAAATATGGAAACTATGTTGCTTTTCTGCCTCCCCCCCCCTTCCCCCAGCGGGAACTCGAACCACAATGAGTTTGTCACCCGGCCGCCGCGTAGACGGTTTAACCAACTTAGCTAGCGCGACGGGCAAAGAATATTAGTTAACAAAGACAGAAATGGTGTCATCAGTGACGACACGCTGGGAGATTTACTGAAGAAAACATCGGAGCGCCGATAGACTTGTCTGATGTTTAGTGAGGATGATCGATCAATTACCTAACCAACCAACCCATCCACCCATCCACCCACCAACTAACTAACTAACTAACTAACTAACTAACTAACTAACTAACTAACTAACTAACTAACTAACTAACTAACTAACTAACTAACTAACTAACTAACTAACTAACTAACTAACTAACTAACTAACTAACTAACTAACTAACTAACTAACTAACTAACTAACTAACTAACTAACTAACTAACTAACCCACTGACCGACCGACCGACCGACTGACTGACTGACTGACTGACTGACTGACTGACTGACTGACTGACTGACTGACTGACTGACTGACTAACTGACTGACTGACTAGAGTATAATCGCGATGCTGCTGCTGATGCAAAATGTACCATTTGACATGACTAATCAAGTACACTTTTGATGCACACACACACACACACACACACACACACACACACACACACACACAAAGGAAAAGTAGTTGTAAAACAAACATCAGAAGTAACTGCTTATACAAAACCTGCAGCTGCAGAAAGAGTTTTCACTCCGCTTTATAATCTTAGGATAAAAATAGTTTTTTAATGAAGACTGAAGCAATAAATGCATCGGTGACATCAACGTTCTTTTTTAAAATTATATCAGTTGAAAGCTGCACAACAGCTGTTGCACATTTCATGAGAAAATGGCACAACAACGGTGTAATGGACGCATAATTTCTATAGTTATCAATAAAAAGGTTAGCCAGTTATATATATTGGGATTAAGGATTGTTCTCGGAGCCATGAAAACCACCCACATCAGAGAGATAGAGAGGATAGCAGTTACTGAGCCATTCGAACTCAGAAGACAATACAAAACTCTTTTACAGTATGAGAAATTAAGAAGACTTGAAAGTCACCCACTGCATTTTAAATTTCAAGAGAGAACAAAAAAAAAAAAAAAAAAAAAAAAAAAAAAAAAAAAAAAAAAAAAAACCAGACTGAAGCGTCAGAGCCCCAACCACCTTGCTAGAGAACTGTACAGACAGCAACAAGATCTGCTTGAAAGAGATGTAGCACTGTGCGAAAAACTTAGGCCAGAACCATGGACAAGCAAGCCAGAGAAGGCGAATGTAATCCTAAAGGTACCAGGGATCACTTCAAAAGATGCCCAGACACAGACACAACAGAGAACCCTGGCTCTTGCTATGCTTGCTGAGAAGTATCCAAACACCACTTGGACCCAGGTTTACACCGACGGCTCTGCTACGGATGCAGCCAGAAAGGGGGGTTGTGGAATTTACATTAAACCCCCTAGCAGTAGAGCAGAAACTCTCTCTCTACCAGCAGGTGACATCTGCACTAACTTCAGAGCTGAGGCAACTGCCCTCCTCTCTGCAGTCCAACATCTTATTACCCAAGAACACAGAGGGCACACGATTGTTATACTTAGTGACTCATTGTCTGTTCTCCAAGCACTATCAAGCAAAAACAAGACAAACTAATTGCAGATCTAAGGACCAACATTGGCTTACTCTCCAAGGAAGCAGAACTGGTCTTGCAGTGGATACCAGCCCACTGTGGTATTCAAGGAAATGAGAGAGCAGATGAGTTGGCAAATGCTGGGAGTAATCTTCCACAATCTCATCCACCACACAGCTACAAGGAAACCAAAACAGCGCTAAAGCAGTCTTTTAAGCGGGAGTGGAGAAGGCAGAATGGAGATTACAGACCAGAGAGTGACAACATAAACAAACTCAACAGGAAAGAACAAACAACAATTTTTAGACTTCGAACTGGACACTGTGGTCTTCGAGCACACCTGTACAGGATAGGCATAAAAGAATCTGCTGCCTGTGATTTTGGGGCAGAAAGACAAACCCCTGAACACATACTACAGTACTGCCCTTACCTCTCCCAGCAAAGACTGTGGATCTGGCCCAAGGGAGCCACATTGAAAGAGAAGCTATGAGGGACCGGTGGCGACCTTAAACGCACAATTCTATTTGTGTCCCAGACGGGACTCAATGTTTAGCATGACTGATGTCAAATGCAGAAGAAGAAGATATATATATATATATATATATATATATATATATATATATATATATATATATATATATCTGTGTGTGTGTGTGTGTTAAGTTAAAAATAATAAGGAATTTGAGACCTTTTAGTGTATTTTGAAACCCTTTTAAAGAAAGAAATTGGCACTATTTGCAAAACAATTTCGGTAGCCCCGTGTCTGAGCTCTGAGCTGCAGCTGCCTCCAGTCAACACAAACACTAACACTCCTCGGCCGCCGTTCTGCACGCTTCGTGTATAAATAACTTAGTTCTGTTTTGTTCTTGATGTCCAGATAGACGGTAAACACGGTGCTGACGGTCTACCGTGTAGTATTTTGCTAGTTGGAATTGATCAAGCGCTGCCTTTTCATTTCTTTTATCGTGAAAACGAACAAGACTTCGTCTGGTCGTCGGTTCGGTTCTGCAGAGTTCTAGTTCAGCTCAGCTGACGCACTATGGTTTTTGTTTTTGTTTGTTTCTTGAAACCGTTTTCTCTAAAGCGAAAATCATAAAAAGACTAATTTAAATAGCAGGTCTAAGGCTGCATACTTTAGTATTCATTTTCGGTAATAACTAATAGTTTTGTTGATAACATTTTTATGTAAAAAGTAAACGCATTGAAGCCACGGGCTGCCGTTATCTCTGATAGTTCTGGTTTCTAAAAGTGCCACCCGCCCCTCCAGTGCTCTACTCTACGATCATATTTAAGATAAGACTTTTAGAATAGTGATTTATTGTTTCAACTATTTCGGTTTGTGGCCTAGATTTCTGTAATCATGATTAATGATAGTGAATGATAGCATACTCTTGAGTTTGTGTGCCATTTCTCTACAGGTAAATGTGGGCGTTAGACATTAAGTGATAAGTGCTCTGTGTGATTCAGTGAAAGGAATAACTTAGAGCTTAACCAACAGACAGACTCTTGAGTTAGTAAAGGAAAGGAATAACATAAAGCTAAACGTACGGACAGACTTGATTTAGATCTAAGAGTGAATATTTGCAGCAGCCATGGATGCAAATGGTGAACTCGAGCTGAAAAGTCAAGAGCAACAGGATGGTTGCAAGAGACGGAGTACAGAGGGTGGTAAGTTTTCATTGTACAGTTCTTGTCATTCTGTGAATGATAATTTAACTCTTACAGGGAATAAAACTATTAAAAAAAAAACACATCAAGGATACTTGTAACTCCTTTGACACATCAGGCTTATATGTTTATAGACTAATCAGCTCTGGATGGGTAAAGCAGCTATTCTCACGCTAGCCACCTTTTCTTGCCAGGACATTGCCTGGTAGCCATTTCTGACTGGGAGTCAAAGACACAATCAGCATCACAGCAGAATTTAGTGCTAGAATCTTGGGCTGGCAGACATATGCAAAGATAACACCAAGTACTGAGTCAAATATTATGTCTACAGTTGACTTGATTGATCTTTGACCTGGACAGTTGTATATCATGCATGTAATTCTAAAAAGAAAGGAAACTGTTGGTGGGAAGTAAATGTAACAGAAGCCGCTCCATAGGGAAGCATCGGCACAAGAACTGTTGACAAGTCCTCCAGCACAATGAGAAGCATCGGCACAAGAACTGTTGACAGTCCTCTAGCACAACGAGAAGCATTGGCACAAGAACTGTTAACAGTCCTCCAGCACAACGAGAAGCATTGGCACAAGAACTGTTGACAAGTCCTCCAGCACAACGAGAAGCATCGGCACAATAACTGTTAAGTCCTCCAGCACAACGAGAAGCATCGGCACAATAACTGTTGACAAGTCCTCCAGCACAACGAGAAGCATCGGCACAATAACTGTTAAGTCCTCCAGCACAACGAGAAGCATTGGCACAAGAACTGTTGACAAGTCCTCCAGCACAACGAGAAGCATCGGCACAATAACTGTTAAGTCCTCCAGCACAACGAGAAGCATCGGCACAATAACTGTTGACAAGTCCTCCAGCACAACGAGAAGCATCGGCACAATAACTGTTAAGTCCTCCAGCACAACGAGAAGCATCGGCTCAAGAACTGTCAACAGTCCTCCAGCACAACGAGAAGCATCGGCACAATAACTGTTGACAAGTCCTCCAGCACAACGAGAAGCATCGGCACAAGAACTGTTGACAAGTCCTCCAGCACAACGAGAAGCATCGGCACAAGAACTGTTGACAAGTCCTCCAGCACAACGAGAAGCATTGGCACAAGAACTTTTAACAGTCCTCCAGCATAATGAGAAGCATCGGCACAAGAACTGTTGACAGTCCTCTAGCACAACGAGAAGCATTGGCACAGGAACTGTTGACAAGTCCTCCAGCACAACGAGAAGCATTGGCACAAGAACTGTTGACAAGTCCTCCAGCACAACGAGAAGCATTGGCACAATAACTGTTAAGTCCTCCAGCACAACGAGAAGCATCAGCACAATAACTGTTAAGTCCTCCAGCACAACGAGAAGCATCGGCACAAGAACTGTTGACAAGTCAGAGACCTAATCTTTTCTAATTATTGTATATGGCTTGCTAGGTAGGCCAGCTGACAGACTTAACTACCCAGACACACTTAAGACAACACTCCTGCTGAGAACAAACATAATCTTTAATGTACAATGAACAACTAGGCGTGAGACACTTCAACTGGGCTAAGCAGCTCCCATCCCAAACTGTCTTGGCGATGACAGCTTTAAAATCGCTAATCAAACCAGGCCAGTTCCCATGGATCTGGGGAGCACGACTCTTAGTATCTCAGTGCCAATCAATCCGCCGTCTATTGCCAAACGGGACTCAGAGATACACGTAAGGTGTATGGCCTAAGCGTGACCGGGCAGTGTTATCGCCATTACAATGCGCGTCACCTTGATTAACTGCTCAAACAAATACTGCATCGAATGTCTACTTCACAAAGAACCTTAACTCTATGTTATCCAGTCTACACATTAAATATAAACACAGCCTATCGTCAATACTACATGCAAATACCCTATTCCACCTAACCGTCGCTAAACCTAATTCTTACCTAGTCACTTGTACCATCTTGTCTCTCTCTTCAAACCAACTCGGACAAAGCCTTTTGTATTTCCCCCTAGTTCAAGACTTAACACGCAGCAATCTGTGTCACCTGAGTGAACTGGACCTGGCCTGTTCACTGGACCCAGTTCACTGCGTGGCCACGCTGTCCGCTCTCATACGGAGTTGTACTGAAGGTCAACTCGTACAAACGTGATGATACACTATCATATGTGGTGTTTCCCATAGCCGAACTGGCCTCTGACACTCCAGCACAACGAGAAGCATTGGCACAAGAACTGTTGACAAGTCCTCCAGTACAATGAGACTCATCGGCACAAGAACTGTTAAGTCCTCCAGCACAAGGAGAAGCATCGGCACAAGAACTGTTAAGTCCTCAGGCACAAAGAAAAGCATCGGCACAAGAACTGTTGACAAATCCTCAGGCACAAAGAGAAGCATCGACACAAGAACTGTTGATAAGTCCTTAGGCACAAAGAGAAGCTTCGGCACAAGAACTGTTGACAAGACCTCCAGCACAACTAGAAGCATTGGCACAAGAACTGTTGACAAGTCCTCCAGCACAACGAGAAGCATTGGCACAAGAACTGTTGACAAGTCCTCCAGCACAATGAGAAACATTGGCACAAGAACTGTTGACAAGTCCTCCAGCACAATGAGAAGCATTGGCACAAGAACTGTTGACAAGTCCTCCAGCACAGTCCTCAGTAAACATGCGCGGCATCTCTAAGGTTGTCATCACACTTGGAAGATACTGACGGGATCAGATCCATGCGGCTGTAGACACAGAGATAAAGGCACTGTTAGATCAGCATTCAAACACAGAAGATATCATCATCTACACAGATGGATCCGTAAAGCTCGGATCAAGGTCAAAATGGGCTTACACAGTACAAAGAAAGGGGATAACAATACAAGAGGACAGCGGGGCATACCATACAACCACGTCAAGCATGACCATTAGGCCGCTGCTTCTAGAGCACTAGCATGGGTATCTGAGCAAATCGCCACACAAGCAGTAATTGTATCAGACTCCAAGAACATGCTTCAGAAGATAGCAACAGGTGGCATGAGCTCTTAATAGGTAGAAAGTATTCGAAAAAGTGCACTTAACCTACTAACCTGGTTCTACACACCTGGTAATGCGGTCGTAAAGGGTAATGAACGAGCGGACCAACCGGCAGGAAATGCACCAAAGCATTTGAAAAGAAGTATTGACAGAGCAGATATGGTCCACTGTAGGGGCTGGGCTAGTGGATAATGAGGAATCTATGACACTATCACGATTGCGTGACATGGGAGTAAAGCATGGTGCTGCATGTCTCGAAGAAGTCATAGTATACATTATAACCGACTTCTCAAAGAAACAATTAGTATAAGTACATTGCAGTGGCTACTGCATAGGAGGACTGAGCGTGCATGGGAATGCCCAATGTGCAGTGGCGTAGATTGTGATGAAATAACTAACCATACATTTCAATTGCTCAGTTTGTAACTAAACTACGGGAGACAGAGCCGCCATGCTGGCCTGCCCCTGTCGATGACGTCGTCGTCTGCTCCACGTCTGACTGCAGGGCTGCCGAAGTTGGTATTTTTGTATACATTTGGTACTGTTTGAACATTGACAAAAACGTTGTTTTTGATACCACACTCAACTGTACAGGAACTGTTGACAAGTCCTCCAGCACAACGAGAAACATTGGCACAAGAACTGTTGACAAGTCCTCCAGCACAACGAGAAGCATTGGCACAAGAACTGTTGACAAGTCCTCCAGCACAAGGAGAAGCATTGGCACAAGAACTGTTGACAAGTCCTCCAGCACAATGAGAATCAGTTTTGAAGAATATTTTAATGATTGTTGTAAAAGAGGCAGACTGCAAGACAGTTTACTGTAAAATCTGGGTGCTCCTCTGAAACTCTATCCCAAATTACCGAGGTTAAAAACATACCATAACAGGGCCTCAATGATATGTAAAAGTCAGATTTATTTTGGCAGATATGGCAGGCAGACCATCAGCTCTGTGGCTACAGTGGCTTGCTACACACAGATTAATATGAAACACAGTAGAAAGTTCTTGTTGCAAATGTCTGATGTCGTTAGTTTCGCCGTTAGACTGTTGTGACAGATTCTCATGGCGGTGTTAGGGTTAGGGATAGCCTATTCATCTCTTATGTTAAAACCTTTTGCAAAGTAATCCTCAGTTGAACTAAAGAAGCAATTAATACAGTCATGAGAGAAGAACAGGCGTGTTTTCAAAGTGCAAGTTGACTGGATCAAATAATTACCCTGAGACTCATTCTAGAAGAACACATTGAGAAGCATAAACCTCTCATCCTGAATTTTTGATTTCAAAAAGCCATTGACAACTTACAGAGTCTCACTATTGGAAATTTTGAAATGCTATAGCATACTAGCCAAAATAATACAAATTATTAGAAATGTAGATGATGGTTCAAAATGTGCAGTGCACACTGAAAATGGTCTAAATGACTAGTTTTTTTATGAACACTTTTCCCTAACAGACAGTAATCATGGCTGTCAGAGTATCTATCTCCTGCATGTTGTCCTTGTCCACAAGGTCAAGGCTGCCAGAGTATCTATCTCCTACTTGATGTCCTTGTTCACAAGGTCAAGGCTGTCAGGGCATCTATCTCCTGCATGTTGTCCTTGTCCACAAGGTCAAGGCTGCCAGGGCATCTATCTCCTGCATGTTGTCCTTGTCCACAAGGTCAAGGCTGTCAGGGCATCTATCTCCTGCATGTTGTCCTTGTCCACAAGGTCAAGGCAGCCAGGGCATCTATCTCCTGCATGTTGTCCTTGTCCACAAGGTCAAGGCTGCCAGAGTATCTATCTCCTACATGATGTCCTTGTCCACAAGGTCAAGGCTGTCAGGGCATCTATCTCCTGCATGATGTCCTTGTCCACAAGGTCAAGGCTGTCAGGGCATCTATCTCCTGCATGATGTCCTTGTCCACAAGGTCAAGGCTGTCAGGGCATCTATCTCCTGCATGTTGTCCTTGTCCACAAGGTCAAGGCTGCCAGGGCATCTATCTCCTGCATGTTGTCCTTGTCCACAAGGTCAAGGCTGCCAGAGTATCTATCTCCTACATGATGTCCTTGTCCACAAGGTCAAGGCTGTCAGGGCATCTATCTCCTGCATGATGTCCTTGTCCACAAGGTCAAGGCTGTCAGGGCATCTATCTCCTGCATGATGTCCTTGTCCACAAGGTCAAGGCTGTCAGGGCATCTATCTCCTGCATGTTGTCCTTGTCCACAAGGTCAAGGCTGTCAGGGCATCTATCTCCTGCATGTTGTCCTTGTCCACAAGGTCAAGGCTGCCAGAGCATCTATCTCCTGCATGATGTCCTTGTCCACAAGGTCAAGGCTGCCAGAGCATCTATCTCCTGCATGATGTCCTTGTCCACAAGGTCAAGGCTGACAGAGTATCTATCTCCTACATGATGCTCTTGTCCACAAGGTCAAGGCTGACAGAGTATCTATCTCCTGCATGATGTCCTTGTCCACAAGGTCAAGGCTGCCAGAGCATCTATCTCCTGCATGATGTCCTTGTCCACAAGGTCAAGGCTGACAGAGTATCTATCTCCTGCATGATGCTCTTGTCCACATGGTCAAGGCTGACAGAGTATCTGTCTCCTACATGATGCTCTTGTCCACATGGTCAAGGCTGACAGAGTATCTGTCTCCTACATGATGTCCTTGTCCACAAGGTCAAGGCTCTCAAGCAGCCCAGTAAAACAGAAGGTGGAGATATATTGGACACATTAAGACAGAATAAGCGAAGAATTACAAAACAGGCATTGGAATGGGAAACAGACTGTGTGATAAAAGAAAAACATTAAGAAGAACATTATTACAAGAAGCTAAAATTGGAGGGCTGAACTCCATGTCAGAAGTCCAGAAAGTTGTATGCAGAAGAGCAGAACGGAGGACTGGAATTCAAGCCTTCTGGAACTACTGAAAGGTGCCAACAACAATAGATCTAGAATATCCGTTGTCTTGAACACAACAAAAGAGTTAAAAAACCTAATCAGGTCACCTGGAATGCAGACAAGCACATGGCTGCCATCTGCTGCTGACACTGTGCTAACTTTCTGGCATCATGTTGGCCTCATGAGCCACCTTTATACTTCAAGAATCTGATTGGGTGATGAATGGTTTTCATCTCATTTCATAGATAGACTGGAACATACCCATGAAGACATGATTCTTTCTCTTCTGTTGCTTCATAAAATCCATGCCGGAAGGATTGTCTGGTTTCCACCTTTCTCTGCCCTCTCTGTCTTGCTGCAGCTTTTAGCATCTGTCTAGTTTGGCCTACCTTCATTACCTGCTTCTCTGGTTGCAGTTTTATACTTGTACATTTGACTTTCCCCTTCTTAACTGCCTGTTGCTTTTTATAATGTCTTACACCATGATCTGCTGTGGATCCACATCCTTCCACTGAAAGACTGAGTGCTTATGAGCATGTCCCAAGTGCATTGATGTTGATTCTTCATTATCCCCATGTGAGTTCCAGAGCCCCATTGTGGGGAAAACATGAAAAGACCCACTGCCTGCCCGTCAAGTGTGTCATAGTAATCAACTAATTGGGGATATCCTTCGAAGTTGGAGTGCATCTGCCCGAGCGGCAACTAACAACCAACTGGGCACTGATAAGCCAGTAAAATGAATGTGCACGCAAAACTCAGGTCCTGGCACAAAGCCAAAATCCAAATGGACTGGAGCTTACAGCAGATGAACAAAGAAGAAGAAGTTTCTTTATCATAATTATTTTATTATATTCTCTCTCTCAGCGTTGCCTCACCCTCACCCCACTGTCTCTCTCCTCTCTTCCACGTTGTACATCCTTTACTTGATCTCACTTATTTTTTTGTCCCCATTTCTGTAGCACGCCTCTCACCCTCTTTCTTGCTCAAATTCTTCTTTTACTAAAGCTTTTCCCCCTGTATTTACCTCTTGTTTTGACTGTCTTATCTCTCTCACATTGGCAGTATGTGATGTTCATTTGTTCACCTTTCTTATCACAACAGACCCACATTTATGAGATAACAACTTTCAGCACAGACACACTTTAGACAAATTATAAACTATAGATTAAACAGATGTATATTGACTTGAGACCCAGTGTGGGTTCCGAGGTCCCATTTTGAGATGTGGGGGAGAAAGTGTAGACCTTCCAGGGCCAGATTTTGAGATGTGGGGGAGAAAGTGTAGACCTTCCAGGGCCAGATTTTGAGATGTGGGGGAGAAAGAGTAGACCTTCCGGGGCCAGATTTTGAGATGTGGGGGAGAAAGAGTAGACCTTCCAGGGCCAGATTTTGAGATGTGAGGTGTGAGAAAGAGTAGATTCACTACTCCCTATTAAGAATGATGTAGAAGGAAACTGATTAGGAGTGTGCCGCTATTGGATGTGTTAGACAAAAAGGCACAGATATCACAGCCTCACTGTAAACCACAACATAGCATGCCAACTGCTGTTTTCAGGGTAAGCACAGAAGAAGAAAAGGTAGTGATTGTGTAGTGTCTTACAAAACGACCCAGATCTGGTCAGTGAAAGAGACAAGAGTGGCCCTTCAGTATGAGCTGTGGCTGATTGGCAAAGGCCTTAAGCACACTAAGGAGTAATATAAAGAATAAGAAGAAGACATATTCTGAGGGTACAAAGTACTGGACGGCGGGGGACAGAAGACAAGGATACTGCTGGTTAACTGTTCGTTAGTTAATTCATGCACAGAGTAATTGCTGACATGTTTAACTTCTGCATTCGTAAATGTTGTTTTTATCTGTCACTGCAGGACGACAGTCTCCTCCATTTTCTCCCACAAAGACAAAAGTTCCCAGACACAACAGACCTTCAGACATTGATGACCAGCTGGTCAAAGCTGGCGAGTCTCTGCAGTACTGCATGTTTGCCGACGATATTGCCCCGTCCAAATTTGAGGTGCCTAGGTACCCTATCCAGGAGAAGGAAAGCCGGGAGTATTTTGAACGTCAGTTGTCCCAGAGGTAAGCTAGCTGTAAACATGAATTCACATCAATATTTCATACTTGTCTGTCAAGGCAGTCATCTCTGCCAGTACTTTCTATTTAGCTAAGAGACATGGATCCCTATTTTGACCCTAAAATCTGCCACAGATCGCATACCTTATAATAAATGTATGAATTTGACTATAATCTAAAAATATTCTAACAACAAACAGGATTTGTGTTCCATGGAAGCTGAGGTTCTTGACCAGCAAATGGGAACAAGTGATCTCGACGTTATTGTTTAGTTGCTTTGTTGAAATTCTCCTATATCAATGAGAGATGTTTCTTATTGGTCAAGCAGTTTTGTTTTGTTGTACTGCAGACCTAGAACTTGAGTGTTTGTCTCCAGTGATTGTTTTTGTTTTGTCGTTTTACTTATTCATACTTGCTTGGTTCTTTGGCAAATAGAAGTTCTCTGTTGTATGTACAGGGGGCAGTAGAAGATAAGATAATAGTCAATCTGTTACAGATATGTTTGGCCAGCCCTATGGGGAAAAAAGATGACTTAGTTAAATCGCACATAGAAGAGAAAGATAATTTTATTATTACAGATTAATGTGGTCATCCATATAAAAGGAAGTCTGTTATATAACAGTGTTCTTTGCTTGTGACTCATTTTGGGTATAGTCATTAGAACATTTGCTTTCTAAGTAAGTGATGCTGGTTCAGTTCTTAACAGTCCCAGTGCATGTTTCTGTTCCTCAGGTTTGGGGGGGTGTGGGGGGGGGGGGGGGGGGGGGGGGATAGCTCCATAACAAGCATGCCATAATCATATAAGACAACTCATTGAGACTTCTTAGATTAGATTTGTTAGGCCAAAATTCTAAGATATCGCAGCCAAGCTGTAAATCATAACATCTTGCTACAGCAAAGCTTCTGCTTAGTTTAAGTGTCTGGCATCAACAGGATCTCATCCAGATCGCCACTTGATCATTCACAGAAGTATTGAACTTGTTAGGAAAGGAAAGTAGCAGAAGATTGGGTGACTTGGTTGCCTGTGCTTCATTGGGAAGAAATGGGTAGAAGAAGAAGGGTAGGTAAGACAGTAGGCCACCAATTATTTCAAATCTGTCAAGGCAGTGTATGTCATGGAACTATCCTTTCCCTTTGTATCAATGAAAATGTGCTAGGTTCTGGTGTTTCATCAGCTACAGAGGGACATTTATGTATTTCTGTCTAACTCCCATCTGTCTCCGTCATGCTTTATTTCTCTCATGCTGTCTCTGTGTCATCTGATTGTTATCCATGTCACTGTCCTAGCTCCCTTGTGTCTCACCTTTTTAGGTCTCTCTCTCTCTCTCTCTCTCTCTCTCTCTCTCTCTCTCTCTCTCTCTCTCTCTCTCTCTTTGTGTCTGTCTCTCTCTCTGTGCCTGCCTCTCTCTTTGTCTCATGCACACTCACACACACTGACATGCATGCACTCACACATTCTCACTGCCAGTGTCTCCACTGTTTCTGTGACATCATGCCTGTCTGCATGTTCACTGACTGTAACCAGCCATGGAAAGGTCTGGTTGTTTATCAAATCCTGGACTATTGTCTTTGAGTTTTGAGGCGTATCTGTTTTACAGATCTAACTTAGTTGAATGCAGATGGAATGCACTCTGACTTTGAAGGCAACATTTCTGATTAGTTGACTTTTATGACAAGCTTGTTAGGAAGCAGTGGATCTATCCCCATCTTCCTTACAGTGGGTCCAAAACCCACATGGGGATACCTGTCTCACCACCCCCCCCCCCACCCAATCCTTACAGTAGGTCCAAAACCCACATAGAGATACCTGTCTCACCCCCCCCCAACCTTACAGTGGGTCCAAAAACCCACATGGAGATACCTGACTCAAACCCCCCCCCCCCCCCAACCTTACAGTGGGTCCAAAACCCACATGGGGATACCTGACTCAACCCCCTCCCTCACCCCCCTCTTCCAGAGGATGTTCTTTGTCTGCAGCTACTCTGAGGTATGACTTAGTCTGCAGCACCTTTAGCCTATCTGCAATAGTCGGCAATGCAAGGATGTATCGCATGCACACAATTGGGGTATTTTTTTAACATTCCATGATCACCTGCATAACTTCATTCTGAATGCGCTCCAGTTTCTTCATCGGACTCTTTGAGACAGTGAGTAACCCCAATCCATAATTAGTCACTGAGATGATTAAGTGCTGGTAAGTCGTGAACAGCATTCTATGCTCCATGTACATTGCTGTCATTATCTTAGTGCATTAAGACCTTTTTTGAGCCTTAGTCACAACCTCGTCTATGTGATCCTTGAAAGACAAACTTCTGTCAAAGGTGATACCCAGGTACTGCAGTCTGCTGTCTCTTTTGATGTCCCTGCAATTTATTTTAAGTCTGGGAACATCCGCTCTAACAATTTTGTTGTCTAAAGAACACCAAAGGAGGGTTGCTTTTTCTGCGTTGATTACAGCCCTCATCCCTGTACACCATCAATCACCTTATCTACTAATGCCTGTAACTCTTGAGATCCTGATCTCCTATATACAAGAACATCATCTGCAAATGTCAATATTCTGCCAGCTCCAGGTGTTTCCAGGTATGCAGTTATGCTCGTAAAAACATTGAGCAGTACAGGTGAAATTGCAGATCCCTGTGGTAGAACTGGAGCTATAATACATGGTTCAGAGGTCCATGAACCCAGGCAGAAAGCTATCCGACCTGTAAACAAAACAGCTGCTATCTGGTTCACCAACCAAGGACAGACTCACTTCTCCATAAGTGCTTTCATCAAGATACTGTATCTGTTGTAAGCGTCTTCTAAATCAAGTGCCGCTGCCACCGTTTTCTGTCTGTTTTTGGAAACCTTCAAAGGTGTCAAAGACAAAAGTGGCTACATATGACCATGTGTCTTTCCCTGGCCGGCAACTTCCCAAATCTCCTGGAAGGAGCTGTCTCTGTTCCAAAAATTCTTGTAGCTTACCCACCACTATCTTCTCTAGCACTTTACCAAAGGTGTTTTAAAGTACAGACAGAGCACACATACCTGGCCAGAACCATCCAGCAAGCAGTGGCAAGTGGGATGTGTGCATTCAGGGGAGACGATAGGCAGACTTTCAGTGAGACAGCTTCTGGAACCATTGGGATGGGAACTCTATTTGCTGCTGAAAATAGGGATTGATCACATGTAGGAATGTCTCTGTGCAGTGAGGGCATTCTGAATGCGTTTCACCCATGAAGGTTCTGAGGCCCCATTATTGAAGAAGAAAAAGGGGGTGGGGAGAAAAGATGCACTGCCCCTCAACAAGCATGTCATTAAAGGTGAATCATTAAGGATTTGCTGAAATCAGATGTTTTGGACCAAAAAGTGCAGATATCACAGCCTAGCTGTCAACTCCATCATGCCAGCCAGCATTTTAAGGGCGACTACAGAAAAAGAAAAGAAGTATTCATTGGTTCACTGACTCAGTCTTTAAATAAAGCAAGCAACTTAACCTGGATTGGAGCAAATCAATCATCCTTCCACTGTCTCACGTTGAGGAGACATCTCATGTTTCAGCTTTCAATAAATAGCCTGTTATTGTTTCCTTCCAGACGTAATCTAAGTCAAATAGACTCTGACAGGTAAATCTGTTTTCTACTCTGTGTTCACCAGTTTCTCACAGCCTTGTTTGATTTGCAGTATGTTTTGTTGTGTTCATACTCATTTTTCTATTCATTTACATTTATTAACTTATTTTAGTGCCAGTTACATTAACATGGAATGCGTTTTTGGATAGTGTTAATGTAATTTTACATGACAGTTGCCACGATTCATTCATTTAGGTATTTACTTACTGTCATATCTCTGTCTATTTTTGCCAGTTTCTGTCAGTCTCAGTGTTTTTATTTTGTCTCTCGTTGTGACATTATCGCTCTCCGTCTCTCTGTCTGTCTGTCTTCTTGCTTGTCTAATTTTACCTGTATGGTCACATTCTTTCATTTTGTCTCTGCCAATCTGTCTGGCTGTCTGTGTGCTTGTTTGTCTCTGTCCATATTCTGTCTGTCTCTTTACTTTTGTCTGTCACTGTTTGTCTATCACTGTCTCTTTGTGACTCTTTTACCTGTCATTACTTTTTCTTACTTTCTCTTTGCCATTTTCTATCTTGTCAATTTTTCAGTCTGTTTCTCTCTGCCCATCTGTCTTCGTTTTTGTCTGCTCATCTGTGCCACACTCTGTTGATCATCCGTCTCTGGCTGTCTCCCTTTGCATTTGCATTATTCTTTTCTCTTCTCTTCAGCTCTTCTCTTTCTAACTCCTACCCACCCAAAGCTCTCTCTCTTTCTCTCACTCTCTCTCAATCTCACTCTCCCCTCCTTCTCCATATGCACACTGGAAATGTGACACTGTTGATCTGGCAGACACTCACTACACATGTGAAACATGATCCTTGAACCTCATGTAGAGATAACTGTGCAGTCTAGATGTTAGTGTTAGAGAAGCTCACCCATGACAGACACATCTAGTGTTGAATAATGCTTGCCAAACTCAGCCAGCCCCCGCAGTTCTTGTAACCAAGATATTGACTCAGCTAATTGTACCTACCTCTGCTGCTAACTTGTAACTCTAAATGTGCAGTTGTTTGATTTTGATAGCTTTGTGTGTGTTGTTTCTGCTCTGTTATCATAGTGGTAATAATTGACACTTCTGTGCATAAGAGACTCCTGAAAGCTAATCAGTACAGGAAAGGGATGTTGGAGAGAAAGCAGGGACACAGTTTTTAAAAAGAGAATAGGTTATAAGAACTTGAATTTTACATATCAAATATGTGAGTACTACATGTAGATACAGCGGCGTCCGTAGCTTAGGTGTTGCCAGCCAGATTTGTAATTTCAAAATACCGTCTTGAAACCCACTTCTGGCAGCATTGATTTTTAACTGGTATGGGGCGTCGCAGGTCGACCCAGTCTAAAATGGGTAACAGGATGTATGTCATGGGGAAGTAAATACGGCCGGCGTAATGCTGACCACATTACTCACTT